CAGAAATAATAAAGTGCTATAAAACTTAAAACAAAAATTCCGTTTTCTCCCAATTTCAGTAGGGTTGACGTACCCCCCCCCACCCCCCGACTTCTCTCAAGAATCCCAGAGGGTACTCATACCACTGGCTGAGAAACACTGGTTTATAGCACCACTCAAACTTACTGGAAGAGTTGTTTCAAAATTATAGGGACAACAATTTAATCAGAAAGCAAGTCAAATCCCTTCTGAGTTACACTAGCACCAATTTGTAAACTCGGCTAAATAACCTTTATTAAGACTGATGGTTTAAGTAAACCTATATGTGCCATGCTACCTCTATTCCTTAACAATAACTTAGCAATGACACTCCTGCCTTTGTGGTCTGTTACTGAAAACCTGCCGATGTACACGTTTATTTTAAAAAAAAGGCCGAAGCGGTGGTGAAATCCTGCTTGAGATAAAGGGACAATCAACGCTTCAGGATGTAATCTTAGCCTACTGCTCCACTGTTATATCTCATACAGCATGTGCTGTGGTTTTGTCATATGGATCTAAATTGCCAGGACAATAGACACTGTTAAATGACAAGAACTCTGTAAAGTTGCCAGATGCAGGGGATATGTTCCTAAATAGGCAGATATTTCCAGACAGAAACATGGGGTGAATGAGACAGTGAAAGTAACTTAAAATTTCTTACAGGTACTGTCCTTTTGCAACCCTGGACCCTGCTAGCTCTTTAAATAGCTCCCTGCTGGCTTTTGCCACAGCTCAGCCAGCTCTTGCTGGAGCACCTGCTTGCTTCCACCTCTGGAGAACATTAAATATTGTAGGAGAACCAAAATGGCAAAATCTGGGATCTGACACTAACATGGTTTTAGTATTTTTTTTATTATTATTATTATTAACTACTTCCAGGGATTATTTACAAACACTTTACCCATGGGAGGAGCTCTCCCTAAAAATCCATATGCTCGCTCCATTGTCCTCCTTCAAGTCAGCTCTGCTGTGATGCCTACAAAACACGATACAGTGATAACTGAAAAGACTGCTTATGTCATTAAATATAATTTTGTTTCATTGTCATCCTGCCTTCCCTACCCTCATCCTGCTTGGTTTGTTGTGTCTCAGGGTACGTCTAGACTACAGGCTTTTGTCGACAGAAGTTTTGTCAACAGATACTGTCGACAAAGCTTCTGTCGACAAAGAGCGTCTACACTACATTCAGTTCTGTCAACAAAGCAAGCTGCTTTGTCGACATGGTAGTGTAGACGCAAAGGACAGTTTACATGCAATAACACAGAAGGCGTTATGCCTCGTAAAATGAGGTTTACCAGTGTCGACAAAACTGCTGAGTTCTGTCGACGTTATGTCGACAGAACTCAGCGGTAGTGTAGACGCAGGTATAGTTTTGTCGACAAAAGTGGACTTTTGTCGACAAAACCCTGTAGTCTAGACACACCCTCTGGGTACATCTAGACTACAGGCTTCTGTCGACAAAGAGCGTCTAGACTACATCCAGTTCTGTCGACAAAGCAAGCCGCTTTGTGGACATGACAGTGTAGACGCAAAGGACAGTGTAGGTGCAATAACGCCGTCTGTTAAGAACTCTGTCGACAAAAGGTATTAAGAACTCTGTCGACAAAAGGCAAAGAATGAGGTTTACAGCCATCGACAAAACTGCTGAGTTCTGCTGACGTTGTGTCGACAGAACTCAGCAGCAGTGTAGACACAGGTATAGTTTTGTCAACAAAAGTCCAGTTTTGTCGACAAAACCCTGTAGTCTAGACACACCCTCATTGTACTCTATGGCTGCAAGCCTTTTTCTTTGGAATAGGGTGCAGTTATTTGTTATATGTATAGCTTTCAGCACGCATACTATTAAAATTACTTGCTAAAATCTGCTAAGTATGATCCTAGCACATATTCAGCATGAAGTAACAGAAAACTTGAGAGAGAATGAGCCTGACCTCGAATACATCATGTGCAGTGACTCCCAGGAAGAAACACACATGGTTTTGTTAATTTCAGTGCATACATTGTTTGTTAAATACTTGGAGGGAGGGGTGCAGCAGCTACAGAGACTGAGCAGGGGGCAGAGGGCATGAGAAAAAAAGATGCTTAGCTTCCTTTACCATAAAATGGTAAAAGTGTCTCAAGGCCCAGTCACTGGTGCATCCTTAAATTGTGCTCAGGCAGTTTAGAATGATACCATTAATCATTTAGACCATGCTGGAAGATTTTGTGTGCTCCAGCCCTCTCGCATACCAAAACCTTGGGCAGGGAGGAGCCCTGAGGACTTGGACTGGTTCCAGGCAAGCTGGGAAATGCATCTCGCCCCTGGGCCTTAGGTTCCCTATCCCTGATTTTAGATCTTCTCCCTCCCAACTAATTTACCCGAGGCATTTCCTCCCTCGTGGTTTCAAAGCTAAGGGGTTCCCTTGAGAGCTTGCTTATCTCAGTCAATATGAGGCAATTACTTAAAACACATGGGCTGCGTCTAGATTGGCATGATTTTCTGGAAATGCTTTTAACGGAAAAGTTTTCCGTTAAAAGCATTTTCGGAACAGACCGTCTAGATTGGCACGGACGCTTTTCCGCAAAAGCACTTTTTGCAGAAAAGCGTCCGTGCCAATCTAGATGCGCTTTTTTGCGGAAAACAAATCTGAGCTGTCTACACTGGCCCTTTTGCACAAAAGCTTTGCACAAAAGGGACTTTTGCCTGAACGGGACCAGAATAGTATTTCCGCAAGAAGCACTGATTTCTTACAGTAGGAAGTCAGTGCTTTTGCGGAAATTCAAGCGGCCAGTGTAGACAGCTGGCAAGTTTTTCCAGAAAATCACTGGCCAGTCTAGACACAGCCATGCTGTGACTTCTTGTATGCTCAATATACAAACCAATCTCCCTCACATCAGTGCAGCCCTATCAACTGGAGTTACTCCTGCTGGTTGTCACCCTGTGGGAGAAGGATGTGGCCTGCATTGCTGGAGGTAAAAAAGCAGTTGAGAATGGGAGGGAGGATGTGCCCTTGTTGCTGATGATCCATAAAAGAAAAAAAAATTGTCAATGCTAATGTGCAACAGAACCTCAGGGCCTGATCCTCACTGCTATTAGTAGGCATCACGCAACTGAAGACAAAGAAATACACTCACTCACACCCACTGAATATCTGTCCCTCCAGATGCTGGCAGATAGGGCCCAGACCTGAGCTCAACTGGTAGGCTACTTCGGCTGGACAGGCAATGGAGCCAACAGCCTCTACAGGCCCCTGGGCAAGGTGTGTGTGGTGCTCCATGCTCCCAGAAGGGGAAGAGCCAAGGGTGGCATGCGCAAAGCCAAGGGCAGCTGGCCCTCAATACTGCCCAGAGCATGGCACATTTCTCCCCTCCCTACAGTCCTTAGCACTGTTAGGCATGTGCAGCCTGGTGTTGCCATGGTGATGTAAAGGGGTTGGGGTTCCAGCTGCTGCTGCTGTAGTAGTGGCCAGAGCCCCGAGCTCCTTTGAGTTGCTGGGCCCCTGCACAATTGCCCCCTTTGGCCCCTCTCTGTCAGCAAGCTTGTGTACAGGACTGAAAGCAGTCTGTGGTGTGGCTTCCCCATCTGTGTAGGGTTGCCAGGTGTCCAGTTTTGAACCAGACAGTCTGGTATTTGAGCTTTCTGTCCAGGAAACAAATTGAAAAATACCGGACGTATAAATGTCCAGTATTTTCTAATTAAGTTTTATTATTATCATGAGTATCAGTACGTAGTTGCATACTGCCTGGCTGGTAGACATGCTCACATTGCATGAGCATGTCTACAAGGCAGTATGCAACTATGCAGTGGGTGGGGGGCAGAGAGGGTTGGAATCCCTGGGGTCAGACTCACCTGTGCGCTCTGCCGGGACCGTGCATGGGACAGGCAGCATCCCAGGATCTGCGTGCGCCCAGGCCAGCCCTGCTTCCCGCCGGCCAGTTCCCCCACC